CATTATGGGTCCTTGTAGATTTTTCTTAAGCACTCTCCCATTTTCCATAGTAACAACAGTTGCCACTCAGCAGATATTCTCTACAGAACTCAAACCAGCTTGAACTCAAATGTTATTTATTTGATTGTAAAAGTAGCCAACTTTTTCCCCCCAAAATAAAATCTAGCTAACTGGTTCAAACTGAAATCATATATATTTTCTTAAACAGAAAATAATGCAGTATATTTTACAGTCCAGACTGAGACCAGTGACATCTACTGAGCAGGAAATGTCTGCTCTTTAGACAATTATACTTCCCTTGGAAAGGCTGGAGAAGCTTCCTCCATACTGGGCTGAATACAACCAGTGAAGGAGCTTGTACCAACACAGGCAAGTCTACAACTCAGGGGGCTCAGTCAGTAACTCTTACATACTCCTCAGCCTCACCAAGGCTTACTTAACCCTAAGAACCCTGCATCACTTTACAGCTGGATGTGTGCATAACGGAGAAATCCTAATCATGGTCCTTTGTTTTCAAAGTTTAAAACATGGGGCTCCTGGGTGGCTCAGGTGGTTAAGTATCCGACTCTTGGTTTTTCGGTTCAGGTCACGATCTCATGGTTTGTGAGTTCCAGCCCTGCATCAGGCTCTGGGCTGACACCATGGAACCCGCTTGGGATTCTCCCTCTCCCTGTCTCTCTGTCCCTCCTGTGCTTGCTCTCTCTCTCTTAAATAAACTTAAAAAAAAATAAATGAATAAGTAAACATTTTAAGCATAACTGATTAGAGAATAATTTCATATTTGCACTTAAATTTGATAACATGAAGGATTGTGGTAGGAAAGTAACACTTTAAAGCTCGACTTTACTCTCCTGTCTGTGTGGACCAGTCCACTGATTTCAATCTTATTTAAATTCTGGGCAGTGATAGTAAAGGGGAAGAACACAGCTTTCTAGTCGATTTGGAAACTTCTATAGGGAAAATATCATGTTGTTTTCCTCAAATGGTTAAATTGGCATTAAAAGACATTTAAAAGTAACTTATAATGTTCACACCACACTTCTTCATAGCTATAGTTGTTTTTTATGTAGAACCTTTTCTAAGTAGTACCACATGTTTTATAGACTGTAAGTTACTAATCAAAAGGGTAACTATGCTTCAAATTTGAATATATTTCACTTATCTTAAAGGTAAGTGCTATTTTGAGTTTTCTGCACTTTCAGATTTTTCCACCTCTCAAAAGTAAGTCAAGTTTCCTTCTGGATATAATAAACTGCCAACAATCTAAACATATTTTTTAAGTTGGTAGCTGAATAGAAAAGATAGAGATTGCTTTATGAGATCAGACCTTTGGTCTTTCTGTGTCAAAATCTTAACTCTGGGGGAAAAAATCTTACCTCTTGCAGTGGCCATTATCTGGTGACTTACAAGGTGAATGGAATGTACTTTTTTTGAATTTTGATGACTTTGGAGTATTCAACATGGAAATAAATTTTTCAGTAAGTGTTTATGGAAATATGCTAATGAAAAACTATGTGAGTATGATAGCAATCAATCATATAATCCACTGGAACATGGATTTTTGAAAAAATAATAATAAAATGGATTTTTGGCACCATAAGAATAAAAAGGCCAAATGATAGCCTGAATTATAATTTTCATCCAGCTTTTCAGCAGACAGAAGACATGCCAGGGATCCAGCCACCCCTTTGAAAGAATAGCAATTATAGAAAAACCTCTAAAAGGCAGCCCCAGTGAGGAAAGGTATTCAGCATATTAATCAAACCAATCTTTCCAACTTAAGTACTTTTCTTTACTCCTAGTATTTCAACTGTTTTTCTTTTTTTTAATTTTTTTTTAGTATTCATTTATTTTTGAGAGAAAGAGAGAGCAGAGAGAGAGAGAGAGAGAGAGAGAGAATGTGCGGTTGAGGAGCAGAGAGGGAGACACAGAATCTGAAGTAGGCTACAGGTCTGAGCTGTCAGCACAGCCCCTACGCGGGGCTCAAACTCACAAGCCGTGAGATGACCTGAGCCAAAGTGGGACAGTTAACCACTGAGCCACCTGGGTGCCCTTCCACTGTGTTTTTCTATTCCTGGTGCCTTTACGGACTGTAGCTGGAGCATTTCCCTGATGAGGTCCCAGCTCTGCAGTGGTCCTCCACTAGCGAGGCTGGTGGCCTCATTCACATGTCTTGGATTTACAGGCAGAAGCTGTTTTACCTCTGCTTGTCATTTCTGCTGAGTAGTTTTGCCACCCTGAGAAGAAAAAAAGACAAAGTAGGCATTCTTTCCTTCCCTACTACTTCTCCTCTTCTTTTTAAGACTATTTCAATTAGAGGTGTATGTGTGTGTGTGTGTATGTGTTTTGTGTGTGTGTGTGTGTGTGCGTGTGTAAAGGTATTTATTTTACCCCGTTACTTTTAATTCATTTGCTTTGTCTTAATTTATAATTTTTCTATATAAACTTTTTAAACCATAAATGAAATAGAAAATGTAAAGACCAAACTTTTCTCAGTAAAATCTGTTTGCAACGCTTTTTAAAACATATATACAATATTTTTAAGAGTCAACCTGCAAACCTGCTCTCTCAAAATAAGGGAGAGCAGAGAGTGAAAGGTTTAGTATACATCCCTAATATCTCAGTGTATTTGCTACAATTACTTAAGAAGTTTGAGTCTGATACATTTGTGTGAATTACTGTTATTTAGTAATGCAGAGATTACCTGATGAGGGGGAGAAAATCATTTGGAGGAGTTAAAGTTAAGCCTTCACAGGCAGGTGAAAGAGGGAAAAAAATAGTTCAACTAGATCCTCCAGGGGAATGGATACCGAGAGGACATGTTCTAGGGACCTGCAGGTATGTGCTATGTTTGTCTCATTGCCTAAGGGATTTGCCAATTATGTGCTTCTTGACTATAAGCTCCTCTCTAACCAGAGAACATGAAAGAGGCCAAAAACACCTTTCAAATTTAAGTGATAATGAAGCGTTCCTAAAAAGGACGGAAAGAATAATCTAGTAAGGAAGTCAAAAGGATAGAATATGATTTTTAAAGAATAGAAAAGAGTAAAACCAGAGGCCAAAAGATTGATAAATTGCAGAATATGTTGCCAAAAGCGAAGAAGTGAAATTTGCATTCCCAGAGCTGTATAATTAAGAATCTTTTATGGAGGTTATTTCCAGTGGTCTCCAAATTTCTGAACACTTATTCCCATCAGGAAAAAGGAAAAAAATAAGTTGAGCACGCACCCTCTCTGTATCTATTTATTTAAAATCATATTCATATACTACTGTGCTAACAACTTATACATTTTTAAATAGACACAAAATGTAATTCTTCAAAAATGAGACAAATACTATAATAAATCATTTACTGGCTAAGTGTTTAAAATCTTTCTTAACTGTAAATGTCTCAATATTTTTATCACATGCAAAGTTCTTTTTTAGAATATATGTGGAGTTTAAGAGTTGACATTATTTTAGCTAAAAAAAACCTTAAAATCACTTGCAAGCAAATAAAGGAAATGTATCATTGGTTTTATTAATAATGATAACACACATTTTTTAGTCCATGTATAATTAGGCTAGCTTTGTTAAAATTTGGGTTTATGTTAAATTGTCATATTCCTTGAGTTGGTTGTCCTTATGAACTCATTAGAAAATGGTTTCTAGACCTTTTTTATGTGAAGAACAATGAGTTTTTGTAAGTGACATATTTGCAACAAAATATTTCCAAATATATCTTCAAAATGCTTTCCCTTTGGCATGGGTTTCTTTCTCATTCACTATTAGAAAAAAAAATCACATTTATCAAGAAGAGCCTAGTCAAATGTGCTTATTTTTAAAAATAAAGTCAGGTAGCATACAATAGTTTGATTCGATTAGAAGGCTTTAGTTTTTACTGACCCCCTCCCCCAGCACATGCCTGACAAGCAGCTGACGTAATAGCTGTGGCTATCTCCTTCAACCTGAGGCTTCTGTGCAAGAATCTTTTAAAGAAACTCATCCATTTTGCAAAAGTCTGTTTTGCTAAAGTTAAATGGTAAAAACACTAAATAATATAACTTTAATTTTACTTAACATACACTGAGACCACCAGCATCAATCTGTATTATTTATATAATAAACTTTTGTGTGTGTCTTCATTTTTAAATAAAAATAACTATAAATTGAAGCTCTAATATTTTCTTTTTTAACTCCAATGGGCCATCTTAAGAGCTCCTCATACACACGCATTCTATTTTGAAGACCATTGGCTCAAAAAATTATAAATTATTTTAACATGTACGGGCAGGTTGAAAACCCTTAGGGTAGAGATAGTGGGAGGGGCATAGAAGCAGAAAGAAACTAACATTTTTATGGATTAGGCATTTCACTTACAAGCAATGAGATAGCTACTTCACTGATTAGAAACCTGAACCTCAAAAATGATAAATAACTTTCCAAGTACCATACAGACATTAAGAACTTCAAGAATATGTTCTTTTGGAGGTGGGATCCTCATTAGTAACTTTCTGCTCAAAGAAGACAGAGATTTCTGAATGTAAAACTAATGTAAATAATAAAGTATCTTTCTTGAGGAAAGAGAGTATAGATTCCATAATCACAGTACAAATTTCCTGAACCTTGAAACTCCCAATTAGATTCCTTTGACCAGACAGAACAATGCTATCACCTTTAGGGCATGAACAAGGCAAACAGCATCCACTTCCATTCATGACTCTAACAATCACAACAAAACAATGCACTCCAGATATAAACTACTTGCCAGAAACTATAAAAAGGATCCATTTATTCAATTAATTTTTATTTGAAACATTTCTAGGTGTCAGACACTAAAGATACAATGGAGCAAAAATAGACGTAATCACTGATATTCTGTTATTGTCTTTAAAAGATACAGTCATTAATTAAGTACTAAAACCCATACATATTCAATTATAAACAAAAGTAATTGCTAAGAAAAACTGTGTGGCATTACCTAGCTTAAAGAGAAACAAAGCTGGCCAAAGACATAGGGCATGGGAGCCTTCTCTAAGACCGGAAGAGTGACGTGGGTTATGAAGGTGAGTGGGGGAGAGCATGTCAGACAGAGGCCCATCTATTCAGGGCCTGTCAGAGGAGGCAGTATGGTATGATCCAGGAACTGACAGGAGGCAAGTGTGACTAGAGATTAAAGGGTGAAGAGTGTTATTCTGTGTGTGATTTGAGCCTGGAGAAGCTTGCAGAGTAAAATCATGTAGTATTTTTACAACATTAACATAATGTCGTTCCTTATTATATGAATAGTTAGAAGTTGTCAAGGATCTTAAGGAGAGAATGACATGATCAAAATTCATTTGGAAGATATCATGGTGACTGAAATACGGAAAACTGGAGGAGTCTAGGATGACTCCTAGACTGAATTAAGGATGGTGATTTAAGAAATCACATAAGTAGAAATGAGTCTAACACTGTTGTGGAACATCCAGTTGAGAGGAAGAGATTTAATATATACTATAAAGAAAAAAGACTGCTATGTCGTTATCTAATAGAAAGAGAAAAAATAACCTACATGGTTTTGAGACAGTAAGGGGGAGGTGAATTGTTAAATCAAAGATGAACTAGAGAGAGACTACAGAGATATAGGGAAATAGGATTTAAAATTTCAAACATTAAATAAGGTTCCAATATCCAAGGATCAATTGTATTTCTATACACCAGCAATGAATATTTCAAAAATGCAATTAACAAAATAATTCTACTTAAAATAGCACCAAAAAGAATAAAATACTTAGATAAAAAGTCGACAAAGTAGTATAAGTCTTCTGCACTTAAAACTATAAAATATTGTAGAAAGGAATTAAGATAAAAACTAAAGATTCCCAGAGTTCACGAATTACTAGAGATATTACTATTAAGAAAGCAATACCCCTCAAGTTGATCTGCAGATTCAGTGGAATCTTTATCAAAATGTCAGCTGGATTTTTTGGGGGGCAATTGAAAAGTTGATTCTAAAATCTATATGGAAATACACGGGATTCAAAATAGCCAAAACATTCTTGAAAAGGAAGAACAAATTTGGAAGACTCAGTTCCAAAGCTTATGATAAAACTACAGTAATTAAGATATTGTGGAATTTTCATAAAGATAGAGATATAGATTAAAAGAATAAAATTCAGAATCCAGAAACAAACCTTCCCATTTGTGGTCAATTGATTTTTGACAAGGATGTCAAAGTAATTCAATGGGAAAAAAATGGTCTTTTCAACAAATTATACTAAAACTGGATGTCACATGCAAAAGGGCGATATCGGATCCCTAGTTCACATCATACACAAAAACTACTTCAAAGTGAATCATAGACTTCAGTGAAAGAGCTAAAACTATAAAACTCTAAAATAAAACATAGAAGTAAATATTTACGACTTGTGTTAGTAGTAGTTTCTTAAATGTGATACTAAAACATAGGTGGTAAGAGAAAAATTAACAAATTGAACTCCAACAACATTAAATACTTTTGTGCTGCAAATGATACACCATCAAGAAAGTAAAAAGACAACTCATAGAGGAAGAAATCCTTGTAAATCAAATATCTCATAATGGGCTTTTATCCAGAATATTAGAAAAAAAAAAGCCTCTTACAATTCAATAATTAAGTAACCCAAGGCAAAGGATCTGAATATATTTCCAAATAGATAGATATGCAAATGTGTAATAAGTACATGAAAAGATACACCACATCACTAGCCATCACAGAACTACAAATCAGAACCACAATGAGATACTATTTCACAACCATTAGGATGGCTAGAACAAAAAAAAAAAAAATACGTAATATCAAGTGTTAGCAAGGATATGGACACAGCAATGCTCATACACTTCTAGTGGAAGTATAAAATGGTCCAGTTGCTTTAGACAAGTTTAGTATCTCTTTAAAATGTGAAGCATAGAGTTACTGTATGATCTAATGTTTCCACCCCTATGTATAATAACCGAGAGAAATAAAAACATACCTCTCATCAAAAACCTGTACATGAATATTCATAGCTGCCTTATTCCTAACAGCCCCAAAATGAAAAACAACTCAAATGACTGACTGACAAATGGATTAAAAAATGCAGTATGTACATTCAATGTAATATTTTGGGCAATTAAAAAGGATGAAGTAATGATATGTGGTACAACATGGATGAACTTTGAAAACACTGTGCTAAAAGAAATTCACAAAAGACCACATATTGCATGATTGCATTTATATGAAATGACCGGTATAGGAAAAAATACATAGAAAGAAAATAGACTAGTGATTGCCTAGGACTGTGGGAGGAGTGGGGGTAGGGAGTGGGGGATGGTGAGTGACTGCAAGTAAGTAAAAGGTTTTCCTTGCCAGGGACAAAAATGTTCTAAAACTACATTGGAATAATGGCTGCATAACCCTATGAGTACACTGAAAAACATTGAATTGTGCACTTTAAATGGATGAATTGTATAGTATATGAATTGTATAAATAAAACTGTTTTAAAAATCTCGAGCACTTAAAAATGGATTGGAATGGAAAGTGTGAGATATGAAAGGGAGAGGAGTCAGTGTCAGTAAATAAATATTTTCTTTGTTAGATAGATGGATTTTAGTGCCAATCACTAAAATTAGTCCTTGGTCTGAAAAGAGATGGTATGAATTAAGTTTTAAATATGTTGAGCTTGGGGGCGCCTGGGTGGCGCAGTCGGTTAAGCGTCCGACTTCAGCCAGGTCACGATCTCGCGGTCCGTGAGTTCGAGCCCCGCGTCAGGCTCTGGGCTGATGGCTCAGAGCCTGGAGCCTGCTTCCGATTCTGTGTCTCCCTCTCTCTCTGCCCCTCCCCCGTTCATGCTCTGTCTCTCTCTGTCTCAAAAATAAATAAACGTTAAAAAAAATTTTTAAATATGTTGAGCTTGAAGACAAGAGATAACCAATGTTGGCAAAAATGTCAAGAAAAGGGACCCCCCCAAAAAAAAGAAAAATAAAGGGAACCCATGTGCGCTGTTGAGGGGAATGTAAATTGGTGCAGCCACTATGGAAAACAGTATGAAGGTTTCTCAAAAAATTAAAACGAAACTCCCAAATCATCCAGCAATTCCACTTCCAGAGTATACATCTGGAAGAAAGGAAATCACTGTCTTAAGGAGATATCTATACTCCCATGTTCATTGCAGAATCATTCACAATAGGCAAGAGATGGAAACAACCTAAGTGTCCATCATGAGTGGATAAAAAAGATGTTATATGTATACACAAAGGAATATCATTCAGCCACAGGAAAAAAGAAAATCTTACCAATTATGACAACATGAATGAAACTAGAGGGTGTTATGTTAAGTCAAATAAGTCAACAAAGAAAGACAAGTATGTACGATCTCATTGACAGGTGGAATCTAAAAAACAAAAACAAAAATAAAACTTAAATCATAGACACAGAGTAGATTGTTGGTTGCAGGGAAGGAGGAGTTGGGAGAAATGGGTGAAGGTGGCCCAAAGGCCAACTTACAATTATAAGATGAGTAAGTTCTGCTGTCTAATGTACAGCATAGTGACTATAGTATTGTTAACATACTTGAAAGTTGCTAAGAACGTACATCTTAAGAGTTCTCACCATACACACACACACACACACACACACACACACACACATACACACACACACACACACACAGTAACTATATGAGGTGACAAATGTGTGAATTAGTCTTACAACAGCAATCATTTCACAACATTTATATGCATCAAGTTATCACAATGTACACAATGTTACATGTCAATTATGTCTCAATAATGCTCAAGAATTTCTAAGTGTAATAGCTGAAAAGAGCATAACTGGACATAGAAAATGACTTGTTATACATGTCTTCACAAAAAGGAAAAAAAGGAAAAAGAAAAAGAAAAAAGACCAGTTGATATAATTTACGAGGTAGATAAATTGCAACATATTTCTAAAAATTTAAGAAGTCCAAAAAATATAATGGTTTGCCTCATATGTATTCAATTGGTGCTGGTGAATTCTTTTACTTTTTACTCACATGGCAATTTTAAATAATTTGTATTAAATATTTTGCATGCAATGTTCCTTTGTTACCTTTGTTTACCACCCAATCATAAATTGACTTAAATTTGAGAAGTATCCAATGGATATGGTAAATTTTCATACAAGATGAGAAGTAGTATGAATATCTATAACCCAGCCAAGACATTTGGGGAACAGATCAGTTTCAGTTATTTCTTCATAATTATACTTTTAAAGCTCATGGTGATTATCTGACTTGTCTAAAAGTAAATGCTACTGCTTGTAAAACTAGAGATAGGTCAATCAATGGCAATGTTGCCACTGTCCAATCATCTACTAGCCATTACATGTCATCAACTCAAATTTACTTTTTGATGGGATATAGAATGTCAAAGCAAAGGGAAAGGACATTTTAAAGGTTAGTGTTATATCATGCCAAAGGACACATTGCAGACTTTTTTTATTTGAAAAATATAACCAGAGGCTATGGCAATTTTATTGTTTCTTTTGCCATTTATTCTACTTTGTTATTTGATCTTATTAGTAAAGAAAAAAAAGGAAGTAGGTCATATCTATTGTCATTTTGTTCTACAGACAAGTCGGAGTGGGAAAAAAATTAAATGTAGCATATCAGCATAGCCACTTAGAACAAGAAATAATCTTGCAATTTCTACATTCTCTTGATAAATCTTTTTAGTAACATCTTTGTATACTAACTGAGCAAAGTTGAATTCATATGAACTGGTAATGTTCCTTTAAAAATCTATTTAGGGTGCTAAAGTACAAATGTTAACTTTGTTCACATATCATGTGGTTAAGAGTTTATTGTAAAATATATTTTGAAATTACTATGTGCCAAAAATTTTACCATAAACAATATAAAAGTATTTATCTTTGAAGAATTCACAATTTCATTAGTAAAGTAAGTGATGAGAAATCTCTGAATAGTTCTCCTACGTTTTATATTGTCATTAGTAAATATCATTTATTGTTACTAATAGCAGTAGTAACACTGAAGAGAAAGTTTCTTGAATTAATTCCGAACA